TGTTTTATTTATGCTACAATAATTTTGTATGCTGATGTCATGAAAGTAATGTTTCCGATTAAATCATTTCGTGACGCACAGAGAATCCAAGAAGACCTCTCCAGATTTGAAAATTACTATAACCTGAACAAACGCGACATAAACGCGTCTAAATGCAATGTCTGTACTTTCTTGCGTAAATCTGACCCAATAATATTTTCATATAAACTTTTAGGCATTGATATCACTAGAGTAACTACGATACGTGACCTTTGTATAACTTTTTATAGTAAATTAATTTTTGACGTTCATGTTAATGAAATTGTTAATAAAGCATCTAGAGCGCTCGGTTTTATAATGCGTATGTCACAGGATTTCAGCTCAATAAAAACCTTTAAAATACTTTACCGTGCCTTTGTGCGTAGTCACTTAGAATACGCCTCTCAAATATGGAATCCCTGTTACAAAATATACGAAATGCGAATTGAGAGAATACAGAAACGTTTTTTACGATATTTGCAATCTAGATCCAAGATCTATATTTCTGATTATTATAAGCGGCGTCAAAAGTTTCATATACTCCCGTTACATGAAAGAAGGCGGATAGCTGATGTTCTGTATTTACTTAAAGTAGCAAGTGGTTCGGTCGACTGTCCTGAGCTTCTCAGTAACATTGGTTTACGTGTTCCAGTGGCTTTTCGACATCCCAGCATACTTCATGTTCCTTTGACGAAAGTAAATTACAGACGAAATTCATACTTCATTAGGGCGAGTGAATACTATAACAAAATAGCAAAACAGCACGATATTGACTTATTTTGTACCACACCTGACCAACTTAAACGACTTCTTAGTAATAAGTTTTTTAATTCTTCTTGTTAGAGTGTAATTCTTTTCGTTTTCTTTGGACGAATTTCTCTTTTTAATCATATTGTTTTCTAAATTCTTTCCTCATTAATTGTGCACAGACCAAACATAAAGCTTATTTATTATCTGTGGAAGCTTATAATTGGCCGTCTGTATTTATTTTTTTGTATGTACTTGTACCTAGCTGTTAGTTTCCCTACAAATTAAAATAAATTAAAAAATAAGGCCAGCAACATTGTCAAGCACCACATGCGGAGGTCGTTTAACGTTTTTCAATGCTACCCTAGTTTTTCTTTTCGTTAGTTGTACGGGCACGATGTTTCTTCCAGGTTTTCCTATAACTTCAGCTTTTTCATACCTGGCTATTTTTTTGCTTTTCTAGTCCTAGTATTTTACATGAAAATCTGGTCGCCTTCTTCGATGGCAGGGGGTTCCTCTCCGCCTCTTTTATTTCTAACCTTTATTTTATTCTTTACTAATGTCTCTGCAATGTGTTCATAGAGGACCTTTAATCTTTTTCTATGGTCTTGCAGTAATTTTTGATAAATTTGTCGTTCCCTATCAATGTCGAAAACGTTACCCGTATCTGTTTGTCCGTAAACTACTTCGAATGGAGTGCAGTTAGATGCAGAATGAATGGTGTTATTATATGCAGTGATGGTATATGTCATTACTGATGCTGCATCTAAATCGCTCTTATCGTACTTGGCTGATCTGTAAATCTCTATAATAGTGGAATGAAACCTTTCGGCGATTCCCATTGAGTTTGGGTTGTTTGGCGTACCTATGTGTAGATTAATTTTGTACATTACCATGAGTTCTTTAATAAGGTCGTTGTTAAATTCGGCCCCTGAATCGCAATTAATCTTACTTGGTAACCCGTACATACTGAGATATTTGATCAGTGCTCGTATCACCTCAGGTGTACTTCTATTAGGAATAGCGATGGCATGCCCAAGTTTGCTAAACGCGTCTACAAGAGTTAAGTAATATTTACCCTCTATGAATAGGAGGTCCATAAATATCTCTTGAAAAGGGGCGTTTTGCGTCTGAGTAAGCTGGATTAGAGTATCGTATTTCATTTTCCTACATTGTTCACAGCTGTTAATATAAAATAAGGAAATAGTTTCCTTCATATTTTCCTAATTTTGACTAAGGTCTCTCGAATACCCCTATGACAAGTTTTGCCCTCGTGGTATCGAGATATTAACTGTCTTTGATCGATTTCAACTTCCGCGACATTAACTACCCTTTCCGTACATTCCATGATATTTATGGTGTTTTTCTTAAACAAGTATGTTATTGAGTTTGAAAATATTTTTCGAAATGAAGGGCCCTCAAAATAAATAAAATATTTATTTTTAGGATTGATATATTCCTTGACAAATTCTTTTATAACTTTTCATTATTTACTGGTGTGTGTACTAGAAGGATATGTTGTTTTTTATTACTAATAACCTGTACACTGAAATTATTATTGAACGAGGTAAAAACTAAAATTTGTCTTGGTTTTATATCAATGGCTTCGTTAAGTATAGGGATGCCTTCGTGTTTCCTATTTGAAATAGAATGAGCGGTAGCCCCACTATTTGATTCTAAAGTTTCTATTTCATCTTCTTGTGCTAACTTGAATGTTTTGCTGCTAGTATCTGAGTCAGAGTCTGAAATATTAATAATATCTGAATTCTCGTCGTCCTTTTCTGTATCTAACATTCTTATTACTGCATCTCTTACAAATTCATCTAAGTCAAAGTCGTCGTTTGGTCTACCTATGTTTACTTGCATGGAAACATCGTCATCTAGCACATTAACTTTTATTCGGGACAATGCATCGGCATTTGTGTTTTGTGATACCTTTTTATATTCGATTTCAAAATTATATTCTTCTAAATGCAATCGCCAGTTAGTAAGTTTACTGTTCGGTTCCTTAAGGGAGTATAACCAAGCCAGTGGTCTGTGATCCGTATAGATAGTAAACTTATACCGTAAAGGTCCGAAATGTTCAACAGCCCATACTACGGCCAGAAGCTCTTTTTCCATGGTACTGTATCTAGTTTCAGTATCGGATAAGGTTCGACTCGCGTATGCGACTGGTTTGTCGGAGCCGACAGAACCCTGTGACAGCACAGCACTGATAGCACAATTAGACGCATCTGTTGTTAAAATAAAATCCTTACTAAAGTCCGGATACTGTAATAATGGTGCGTTGGTAAGGAGTTTTTTACATGTTTCAAAGCATTATTTATATTCGTCAGTAATTTCTATTTTCTTTTTCAAACACGAGGTCATAGGGTTTGTTATTTTGGCAAAATCTCTAATAAACTTTCTGTAATAACCTAATAGTCCCAGGAAACTTTTAATCTACTCAGATTGAACAACTACTCAGTTGTTCTAGGTATAGGATACTTCAGAATAGCATCAATGTCTGTGTTTGGCCTTAGTCCTTCCCTGGTAATTGTATGGCCCGAATAAATCTTCTTTTCGAAGAAAATGTGACTTGTCTAGCTGTACTTTAAGGTTCGTTTCGCGAAACCTTTCAAATACGGCTCGTAGTTTTTGAGCATGTTCCTGTAAGCTTTTTGAAAATATAATAACATCATCTAGGAACACCAGGCAATGTAAGCTCTGCAAACCCTTTAGAACATTATTCATTGCTCTCTGAAAGGTGGCCGGCGCCGTTTTCAGGCCAAACGGCATCCTATTGAACTCGAAATGCCCAAATGGCGTACTAAATGCCGTTTTCTCCCTATCTTCCTCCTGAAACTCGATTTGATGGTACCCGCTTGCCAGATCTAATGTGGTAAAATACATACTCTTGCCTAACATATCAAATAAGTCGTTTATGTTCGGTAAGGGGTATTTATCATTGGCAGTAATGTCATTTAGGCGTCAATAATCAACCACTATTCTCCATTTTTCTTTCGCCCGAAGCATCCATTTTTTTTGGTACCAGGTGCACTGGGGCACTCCACGGGGAGTGGGACTCCTGAATAACATTATCTTTTAGCATTTTATCTACCTGTTTCTTTGTTTCGGAAGTCTGGCATGGGGGTAACCTATAGGCTCTAATATGTATCGGGTCCTCGTTTCTTGTTCGTATTCGATGTTTTGCCTGATTTGTAAAAGACAAGGGTATATCTTCGCAATAAAATATATCCTCGTATTCCCTACAAATACTCTCTATAACCTCTCTTTCCACGCTATTCATGTGATCGAATCTAAGTTTCTTTAAATTCTCCGTAAGTACGATATCTAAGTCGGATCTATTGTTATCATGATAGTTAAGATTGGATTCTACCTTTTCTTTCTCATAGATTTTTACCTTAAATGGGGCTGTCACTACCATGGTCTGTTCGATATCTGTGTAATTCTATATAACTGTTCACGCGTAACCATTGTCTTTCAAAATTTTAGGCAAGGTGATATTAACTATTTCATTGTGTTTACTAGAAGCGTGGGTGCTCACCACTTCAAATTGCTTCTGTTGTTTAAAATGTGTATAATATTTATTAGCGATTTCAGGACTAATGAAAGATCTTGTACTTCCAGTATCTATCATGAATACTGATTTTAATTCAGGTATATATATATGTGGCAAATTTAGCTGCTTATTATAATTCAATTTAACCTGTTCTCGGCTGTGGAGTGTGCACCGTTTAAGATTAAAATTAAATTTTAAATTCTAATCTAACTTCCAAGTTAAGAATTGTTCATTTTGAAATTGTTTGGAAACGCAAAAAAATTAATTTAAATTAAACACCAAAATTGCAAGTTACAATGTTAAATGTGTATTTATAGCTATGGAAGAGTGTTACCTCTTGGCATAGGCTTGATAAGCTTAATAGGAGGCTACCATCCACTGTTAGTGTAAAGTTAATTGTATTACTGAAATAAAGATTTATTATTCTTATTTTAAGTAAAACTCTAGCAAATAGACAGAGCATATTGTCCGATTTGTTTACCTTTCAAGTGACGCGTTCTAAGTTGACAAGTAATGTATTTGCGTGGACATGGTCTTTTAATAATATTTATACATGGTTTTAGCGTCTTCAATAGCTTAATATAAATAAAATAATGTTTTTGTAGGCTGTGTATATGCTTCAATTAAATAAAGTTATTCAATGAATAAATAAGTCCACTTGTTTGTGACTCACCCTTTCTATACTGCACATCTACGTCAATAGGTATTGACTTCCCCGGCACATAATGCTGTTTGGTCATAGCAATCTGCTTGGTTTCTTCATCAGGGAAGACGAATTCCAACTCAGCCCATTGATTAACTATCCTTAGGTTGCTTTCGGCGCCAAGTTCTGGCCAGAAGCACGCCAGGCAGTAGAATAAGAAGAAAAATATCTGGAATCCGTAAGACATTTCTGCCTCGAACCTGTTGAGGAAAAAACAAATTTAGCTGTTAATCCTGTTTATAAACAATATTACAATTGTTTATAAACAGGATTGGTTTTACTTTTATAAAATCAACCTGAGTTTAATAAATATCAAACACAATCGATTAATATTTACGAGCAAGAAATGTTCAAGGATCAAAAAAATATGTTGTATTTTTGCATTTGCTTTTATGTGTCCACGCGCCGTATACGGACACACACGTTTGCATAATCTCGCGGTACACTCGCGTTGCATAACGGTGGTCGTCTCACGCGCCATTTATTATAGAATCAAAGCAATCGTTCGGTGTTTAAAAAAATACATCCAATAATAGACATGTTCATTGTTGTGTTTGTGGTAGTTTGAACAAGAGTGCATCAAATCGGAAATGTTCAGCATTTCTTTTTTATTTCATATCATACCCCATATTCAAGATCAATCCGCGATGCTGGTATAAAAATATCAATACATATCAACAACAACAAACTTACTGCATTTAAATTTTAATTATAGCACTAGAATACTGTAATGAATAATCAATTTGGGAAATTAACTTTTCTAAATTGGTTCTGAGTAGTGCCCTGGAGTGAATGCCGCTGATTTGGTACTCATAATACAGCAAAATCAGCTTGAGATTATGTCTGATTATGTATAAAAAAAAAAAACTTTAGCACCAGTAGTAGTATTTAGTAGCAATAGAACTTGTATTATCAATTTTATTTGTATTAGGTACTTGAAGTTCAGGTAAACATACGGGCTGCCTGTTCCTATATCTGGGCATTTGTATTATGATAGTTATTATATAAAAAATTAAAATTAAATAAAAAGATTAACAGTGCTTTAATAACGTAAAATAAAATAATTATAATGAACAAAATAACAGAAATAGGTATCGTCATTATAAATAATAAACGTAATCAAAAAATAATAATTTAAAGAACCACGTATAACGTTTCGTCCTAAATAAACTACTTGTATGTCGCTTCTAGTTTTGCCCGTTCTATGTATCTTTGTTAATTTTGTATACCAACGTGTTAGTGATTGAACGAATTAACTCACATTTAAATAAGCAACAATTTCCCCATTAATGTAAAATAATTTTTATACTTAATCTTGGCGTTCGAACGGGCGTGTATAGCACGTGTACGCGACGCAACAAACGTTGTTTTATTGAGCTATCCTTGTACTAAGGAGTTTGGATGCTACAATGGCGACCCTGCCGCAGAACGAGAGTAAAATGAATAATATTCCTATCTTAGAGATCGCTTGCAGTGTGTTCGCTCTGATGAGGCTTCTTCTGATTGGTATGACTTAGCCGTTGGTGTCCCTCAGGATGGTGTTCTTTTCCCTCTCCTTTTCTCTATTTTCATTAACTCTTTCACTTCTGCGTTGTTCTCAAACTTTCATCTCTACTGACGATTTGCAGCTCTACAGTAGTTTTAAAACTTCTGATGTCATTGCAGCCGTTGAAGCAGTAAAAATTTTGATTTAAGAAACATCGCACATTGGGCTGAGTCTTTTGGCTTGTTGGTTAATCCCAAAAAGTCGCAAGCCATGATTGTGGGAAGTGAGCGTTTAGGTGGCACTTTGAAAATTGACTATGTACTATGTAGGGTGGTTTGCATTAATATTAGACATAACTGGTTGAAGACTGTACCACCTCAGTCAACCGTGACCATGGGACCTGTAAAGGGCCCGAAACGTCGGATTGTTTGAAAAAACAAATATACGCGATTTAAATCCGGAAAAATAGTTTTATTTCCTATGTGTAACAATCGCGAAAACCCAAGAACTCGAATTGACTATGTCCCAATTATACAGCATAATTCAACGCCTATTGCCTGTAATTCTACTGCTACTAATTTGGGTCTGCCTCCAAAACTTTATGCCTTTAAAATCCAAGATCTGTTTAGTTTAATGTCTTATTTTAACCTTCCTAGATCTTTATTCTTTATTCTTTATTTGCATCAACCATAATACAGTATTAGGATGGAAAAACTTAAATCTAGGTTACAGTTCATTATGGACCCTGAAGGGCACAGCAAATTTTAATTTTAATTGGAGAGGGGAGGCTTTACCCTTTAGAATTTATTAATCTTATATGTTAAAATAAACATAAAAGTAAAAGTAGAGTTTGATGTTTCACTAAATTCAGTAGAATATAATTAAAATTTTGTCTGTTAATATAAAAAAAAAAGTTGAATACATTTATAATTTTTATTTTTTATGATTTATTTTTGTAGTTTTAGGCCGAAAATTTGTCGTTAAAATATTCTTGTACAGAATAATAACTTTTTTCTATCAATAATTTTTTTACTTTCGTCATAAAACATTTTTCATTTGTTTCATCCTTGAAAGAATTGGGCAATTTATTAAATATTTTTGCTGACATCACTAGGGGACTATTTGAATGTAAAGTCAATCGCGAGGTAGGTAACGTGAGCCTGTTATTATGTCGAAATGTGAATCCACAAGATATATCTTTCCGCTTAGTAAACAATTCTGGGTGTTTCTTTACGAATTTACAAATTTCGTATATGTAAATGCAAGGCAAAGTTAAAATTTTGAGACTCTGGAAGACAGGTTTACAGGTGTCTGTTGGTTGTATATTTGCTATTATCCTAATTAGATTTTTTTGCCAGGTCAGCAAATCTGTGGCGTCCACACTGTTTCCCCATAGCATAACGCCGTAAGTGAGCCACGAGTAGGCATACGCGTAGTAAGTCACGAGTGCTGTTGATTGGTCGGTGGATTTTTTTGTTTCGCGAAGAGCGTAGGCAAATCTAAATGGGATTTCCAGTTTAAGTGAGTATCTAATTTCAGGCCTAGTAATGTATACTCGTTTACAATTTCCAATTTAGTGCCTTGATAAGTGGTATTAATTTTTATAGGCTGTCTTTGATCATGCTGATTCCTGCTATTTAGATGCTACTGAAGCTTATTTAGCAGAAATAAGCTTGAACGGTTGCAAAATCCATGCATAAGGTTCATCTTTGGCCTTCGTAAATATGACCGAATCTCACACTATCGCAGTCAGCTCAAGTGTCTTCCCATTCGTCTCCGCAGGAATTTGTCGTCTCTTTTCTTTACAGAATTCTAAATACCTTTGTCTCCCAGGTATCTGAAGGAGCGTTTCAGCTTTCTCGGGTCCCAAGTCTTGTCGCTCTCTTGTTAGGTCCCAGTTATCTTTTCCATCATTCAATTCCGGTTTTTATTCTCACTTTCTGTTTCTCTGTGTCTGTGTCTATGTCTGTGTCTCCTTTACTGTTCATGCTGACCGCATTCACAAAAATAATTGAATATCAATTCAATAAAAATTTAAAATACAGTGAATAGCGACATCTCTCGCCAGGACCGGTAGCTGCAAAGGTATCTAATTGGGTGATAAAACTTTCATATATTTCTCATAGATGGTGCTACGACTAAAAGTCTTTGAAAAACCAAAGACAAAGACACGACCAACAAGCACAGAAAAATTCGTGAGGTCCGCTGATTCGATCCGTGGCTTAGTTGGTATAGCGTCTGGCACGGTATGCTAAAAGACGTCGGTTCGAATCCTTGCAAACAGATTTAAAAAGTAATTGTAATTGAAAATCAAATAAATTTTAAATAATCTTTACATTATTAAGGCTTGATTCATATTGCCGAGACGCAACGCGACGCTACATTAAAAACAGCAATGGAATATAAACTTTATCCTCTACAGAATAAGGCAACATTTTATTAAACAAAAAAATTAAAACGAAGCCGCAAGAAGGGGCGGCGCGCTGGAGCGAGCTGCGAATAACGCACTTAATAAAATGCAATATACTATAGAACATATTATCTACTATATAAAGTACACATTTCTTCAAACAAATAGAAACAAAAGAGTAAAGCCGCGCAGAGCCACGCGGCACAGGCTACGCAGCCCGGCTCCGTCCATATTCCCGCCTCCGGCAACACATAAGGTTTATTTTTTTGAAAGGCGTACTGCTTAGTAGATCCAATTAAATACAGAATTTCAAGTCTACCAAATAGTGTTCTTTGAATGCAAAGAAGCTGACGTCACCTGTATGTGCCACCACGGCCAATGCAAAATGTAACTTGGCTTCAACAATAACGTACATATTTCTTTGAAAGGCAGCTATCAGTTGATCGACATCATACGCAGCGCAAACTTTGGAAATAGCAATGCAATATAGACTTCTCATGTAACAAATAAAGTGAATATTTCTTCTCTCGGGAATCTGCTTTACGAATGGGTGATCGTGTTTATACAAATTGTAGATTTTACATGCAATTAATATAATAATCCAAACAAAACGACATCGTTGGCCCGACGGTTTGCACTGTCAGCACTGCATGAAGGTTCTGGGTTCGATTCCCGGTAGAACCAATACGGGAACTTTTCTGTAGTGCTATTTCGTGATTATCAAATATTATAATGCACAAATTAATTAAAAACCACAACATTACTTTCCAAATCAATGTGAATTTATAACATTTCAAGTTTATGTTCACACAATTAGTCAAATAGCGAAATGAGCGCAACACACCGATGTAAATTAATTGTCAAAGAGGACCGCATTTGCGTCCGCCATCTTGAATCTTTCAGTCAGTCAGTCAATCAGAGTAACACAGCGTGTGTATGGCACGCCGCATACATGGATATCGTTTTTTGGCAGAGTCCGGATTTTAATCCACGCCCTCTGCTTGAGAACCACTGGGTTTGCAGAGTAGCAACTCATTTCAATTTTTATTGAAATTGATAAATATGTATGAAAAATATGAGACTGAATTAACCCAATTTCATCCATTTTAGTATTTAAGCGTTATTGTTTTAGTTGCTACGAATTTTATTCTTTTGTTCCATTAATATAATATCATGTTTTTCCATCACAGTCTATATTACGCGTATAGGTAAATAGCGAGAACTATTAGCTCATTTGGTGCTACATTGTACCTATTGTAATTTTGGTGCAAACTCCATCTTCTAAGGCACA